AAACAAATAAAGAAACGCTGCAAGCAAAAAATAAAAACACCAGCAAACAAAAAATAACGCTGCAAACAAGAAAGGAAATGCTGCAAACAAAAAAATGAAACGCTACAAACAAAAAAAGGAAATTTCAGCAAAACTGCTTTCCTCAACATTAATCTCTCAAAACATTTTATTCCTTTATTTTAGAGTGTTCCAAAAGTGATGTTGACATCAAATAAGTTGCATGTATCTGTGAGGAAATATTTATTATATTCCAAAAAAAAACCAATTGAAGATATGGATCATTATATTAATATTATAGATACATATTTTTATTATTTTTATTTTTTATTTTTATTTTTCTATTTCAGTAGGTCTTTACATAATCATGACTATGTAATTGTAAAACATTTGTGTGTATAAATGTTAAAAAATATCTTACTTGTAGTACTATCATCGTTTGTATCAGTAGTAATATGGTTTAAAACTTCAGTTGAAAGCTGCTTCGTAATGGGAATAAGAACTGTTGTAGGTACATTACTGTAGTTGAAATTGTGATATGTCAAGACCCTAATGCAATTGCATCAACACTGACTATATCACAGTGAGGCAAAAAGCAGTAAGGTAGTCACAATCACTCAGTAGAAATACAACTCATTTATTTCACAACAAGGAAGCCAATCCAGTTTGCAGCTGTCATGTTGTTACTATTGTAATAAAAAAGGCATTAAAATTATTCTCAAAATAGTAAATTGTGCTCTTCCACCAAAACAATATATAATGTAATATATTTTGACTTTCATTTAAAGAAACACTAATAATATGGACATTATTTTATTTTTTATTTTTAAATTTGCATTCAATAAATATATAGGCCTATACTACTACATAAAATATAATGGAAATTTAACATAATTCAAAGCACTTAAAAATTAATAGCCAAAATGTAGGACCTAGGCTAGCATACACTTAACTTACCAATTTATATAATAGGCCTGCAGCGCTATCAAATAGGCCTGCAGTGCTAGGCATAGACCCCTCAGTTCTGTTTATTAATATCACTACTTTTTTTTACTACACTTTCTATCTAGACAGAGTGTGACTACCAATTAGAGGAAGGGGGAGGGGCTACGTATACCTCCCAGACTGCCTAGGCCTAGCCCTACATAAGTAGGGCTAGGAATGGAGGCAGTATTCGATAGATTAGAGGCCTAGCATTTTGGGCCTAGGCTAGGCTAAGCGTAAACGTCTAGGCCTAGCCTAGACCAGCCAGCCTAGCTAAGCTAGCTTCGATCTCATCTAGGCTAGTAGTAATAGGCCTGGCCTAGGCCTAAATGATCAATCAAATTAACGTTTGTTTTCGGGGTATAAATTAATACATATGATTTTATTAAATACATGATACACTTACGAAAAAGACAAATACCATCATTAGCTACGAACGTCTTCGATACCTTTGTTAAATCGTTGTTTACATCTTCTCGCGATCGCATAGCACGACGATCAGGTTGGAAATTCTTTAGATAATTAGATAACCTGTGGAGAAAATGGAATATCCCATTAGAGGTCCTTACTACTGTAAAAGATATTGGACCTGAGCTACTTACACGGGGTCCATTGATCGCACTTGATCCGCCTAGAATAAGGCCTAGGCTCCACTACTACTACTACTAGTACTAACTAGGCTAGGCTAATCTGCTCCGTGTGTATGTATGTGGATAGAATGATGATGCTCAATAATTGCCCTTCCTTGTCTAGGCCTAGGCTAGGGCCAGGCTAGCCTCTAGTAAAGTAGATAGTAAGCCCTAGGCCTAGGTAGGCTAGCACAGGGAATTCTACCACTGGGTAAAGATTTCAAACTTTTTTCCTAGCCACTTCTCTGAGGTTCCAAGATTCTTCTTCTTCTTCAGTTAAATTGCCGCCTTCAACATTTTGAAGATTCTGCAACTTGATTCTGAGTCTGAGAGTTATCCTGGTTTAACAATTGCAGTATATTTTTCAGTCTTCTAAAGACCATGCAGCAAGCCTACATGCCAATATTACTTCCAAGGAACACAAATTCCTTTATTTTTTGGTTTGTTGTTGAGAATGATATTTTTAATGTCATCTGCCATAATTTGCATTTTGCCACGTTGATCTTCTTCATATCCTATTTCTTTGCATGATCTATTTATCAAGCTCGTCAGTGGTCGTGTTGAGTTTCTTGAAGACAAGAACCAACAGAGGGGTGTGTCATATGCATGACGGATGTTGTATGCATGCTTTTCTCATTTGCACTCCTGGGTCAAGAAATATTGAAATGGACCGGAAATAAAAGGCATTCTTGTCTCGCACCAAATTCAACTGTAATCCATTCGGATATTTTACCCTTGACGATTACTGCATACTTTAACTGAGCATACTGTACGTGCATCAGCTTATTATGGTGTCAAAAAGGCTGCTCGAAAGTCACCAAAATGCCAATGTACAGGTACTCGTCATTCTCTTGCCTTGGGATGAACACTGCGTCTGAGGTTCCTTGGCGCTTCTATATACAGTACATAATATATGAATCTGCAAATAGAATGTTAATCGGTGTTATAGTATTTACACATAATTGTTATAAGAGGTTTAACTTAAATTACTTTAATAAACAGGGAAAACTGTTCAAGACAACTGTGTCCCAGAAAAAAATGAAAGCAAGTGAGAAAGATGGACACAAGCGATATTGATGGATCTGAAGTACCTTGGGGGAAAGTATGGATTAAAGGACAGTTGATGTTCATCCAACAGAGGTTTGTATACTCTCAACTTGCACCCAATTCACGCTGACAATGTGTTACACGGGAAGTGTGAGAATTTAGCAAGCTGTTAGTGTGCATCCATACAATTATGCGTCCTATGAAATATCTACATAGAGCTCTGTCCCCACTATCAGTGTATAGTACAGTATAAGTGAAGAGGCTATGTCAAATAAGTGTAAACAATGATAATGCTTATTGTAGTTATTGATTTTATCATCTACTCATCCTTGTCAGCATCTTATCAATCATCATCATCATCATCTTTTTCAATTGTTTTTGTATGGAACATTTCTATTTCCACAATCTTGTCATTCCACTGTATAGTAACAAATAGGCAGTATCTATTGTTACACCTGTCTTAAATGAATTATTAATTCTGATTGGATGATGATGTTCTAATCTAATCTATATATATACAATATTAAGCAATCAGAATTTGGAATGTGTTTAATACTGGTGTAAGAATAGCTAGGGTCGGATGCAAAATTTTTCAAACTGGGGCAGGCATAACATTTTCAGAATAGATAAGTGGAAGCGCTTTTTTAATACATAACAGATTTACTGTGCATTGGAATTTTAAAAGTTAGTGGCAAAACAGGGCCCCCTATGTGTATTAGTATATATTTTGAAACTAATGATGAATGTTTCTTAATGCAGGAGGAGAAAGAAGATTTAGATGAAATTTTAGCAAAGAAAAGTAAAACAAATAGAGAAACAGAAAAAACAGGAGAGGAAAAATCTACATTACATTGTAAGTTGAATAAAAAGTGTAAACCGTGTTATATAACAATACAAGAAATGACAACAGCACTTTTAAGACTTACTTGTATAAAATCTACGAAGATTAAAAATACAGATTAACTCTGCTGCTCGACTTAATATGTCCGTTATTGGTAATCCCAAATTTGAACATATTACAGTAGTTCCACACTTAGAAAACTGCACTGTCTTCCAATCAACCAGCAAATTAAGTATAAAATGCTCCTTTATATATTTAAGTCCTTGCACCATTGTACTCCTCACTACATCTCAGAACTGATCACACTCCATTCTGGTAAATGTAAAAGGATATTAAGGTTCACTACATCTATAACCCTCCATGCACCTACCTGTCATTTGAAGACTTATGGAGAAAGGTCCTTTTCAGTTGTTGGTCCAAAGCTCTGGAATTCACATACACAATCCGCCGTCTTAAATCATTCTTATTTGACAATCTCTAATTTTCCTCCACTCTCCTGGAATATAATGTAAAATAAGGCCTAACCTAGAAGTAATTGCGTACAAAGGTTTTTAAGTGGATTTCACTTCTACATGATGTATGTGATCTCAGAAAAAAAAGTCCAGAGAAATCGGACACCGCGAAGGGTCATTTTTGGTCTTTTTAAGGTCATCTGAGGTCAAAAAGTTACGATATCACTTTTTTGGACATTAAATATTTTTCCAACATCATTTTTACATTGATATTGATGTCAAATTAAAGCTGATTAAATTTTGAATTTAATGACATAAACTTTGTTGATCACAACTGCGTTTTAATGTGGATTTAAAGCTAATTAATTACTTTTTAAGCACTTTTTTTCAGAAAAATTATATTTAAAAAATATTTAATGACATTCTATGGCCCAATAGAAAGCTTAAAACGTTTTAATGTTTTCCTAAAATTATCTATAAGGACTCTAAGACACTAGAGTGACACTTGTAAAATCATATGCCTCAATTAGGAGCATTTTTTAAAATTTGAGATTTAAAATGGACGTATTTAACCAATTTCACAAAAACACTCTACACAGGCCCCTTTGGGCCTCCATACCTAATGTTCTTGAAATGGAGCTTGCTGATTGGCTGATAGTTTTGTACAGCCTGACAGCCAGCATCACTACACTACCAGGACAATTTGTTTGTCAAGAGTTTTATCATTTTTCAGGTTAGTGTTTAGTTACGTTCATTGTGTTTACATCTTTTTAGATATAATCAGTATAAATTAGGCATGATAGATAAATTAATTGAATATGCAGTTATTACAAGATATACAGTGAGGCCAATGACTAAGCTCTGATGTGTCCCTTAGGCAAATCCAGGCAGCGAAGAGGGGAGGCCTCTAGACTAGGCATCCAAGGCTAGGTAAGGGGACTAGTCTGTCACTTAGAATTGAGTCCTAGCCTGAGGCCTAGTGTGCCTAAGATTCAAGAAGGGGCTTCTAAAATACTCATCTAGGTCTATATAAAATGATATAGATTATGATTTATAATTTATAAAACATGAAAATGAAACATTTGCAAAAGAAAATGAAACATTTAAAGCAGCTGTTTTAACCAATACATTAATGTATGGGGACACACAGGGGCCTTGTAGCCATTTGTCACTAATGATTTGCAGATTAAAACTACAGTACTGTAAAACTATCTGACTGTTTAAAATGCATTATTCCTTTATATAATTTTTAAAATTATACTAGGCCTATTGTAATTGATTTATGTCTAGGAACTGACCCAGGTGTTAAAAAATAAAACATTACAGTTTATTAAATTTATGCTCAAAAAGTGAAAAAAGAGGGGATAGCATTCGTGTAACGACAGGACAACAAATACACAAAGATTGTAGAAAGAAATACACTCATCCATCAGAAGTAAGTTATACAGTATATCTTTTACACAATTTAGTTAAATAGCAACATGCAGTATAAGGTTTATATTATATTTCTAATGGATAGCGATTACAAACAATTGAATTTAAACTTTTCAACAGCTCTCAAAGAAAGAAGGCTCTTCAAAGAAGACTGCTGAGAAGAGGAAAAGTAGGGTGGATAGTGATTTTACTAGTAGTACTGACTGTGTATTCTGTGGAACTAAAGTTGACGCCGCCAGATCTGAATTTGGCTATGTGAAAACTTCTGAAATTGTTGAATCAATTAAAGAAACCATTACAAATGTTCGGAAACTGATGCTAACATCGCCAATGCTATCGCAATTTTCAATCTGGTCTGGCCATTCCTGTTCGATTCCAATCATCTACTGGAGTACCAGCAAAGCGAAAAAGATCTGGAAGGCCAATAGGGGACGATCGAGCTCAAGCATTTTCTCAAGTATGCTCTTTCCTTGAAAGTAATGACGAAGAACAGTATATCAAACTTAAGAGGTAGGGCATATTTTCATGATCTAAATTAGGGTTTAACTATTATTATATTGTACACAATATAACAACGGATCTTATTTTAAATGTTGTTTATTATAGTATATATTTTGTCCACAGAAAAAATGAAAGAGTTAGATATTAATAAGTCAGAACCATACACCAACAAACACATCAAGAATAAGCTAAGGGAGAGATACGAGGATAACATTTGCATTTCTGAATGTGATGGGTATAATGATTTGGTTACAATGAGGGAAAAGACATCAACCATTCTCAGGTAATTGATTTTAATTGTTAATGTAATTTCTAAAACATGGGACTATAGATTGAGAGTAACTGAATATATAACATACAACGACCTTAATTTATACATTGTTGATGTTTTTTTTCTTTTCGTTAAAACCATTAGGTCATACTTTCAGCGAAAGGATGGTAATGATGATTTCCAAAAATGGGCAATTATTGAAACTGCTGCAATGCTAATCAAGTCAGAAATCAAGACATGTACCTCATGTGTGACAGATACCAACCCTAGTACAACAGAACTTCTGGGTGATGCTCCATACAAGTTTTTGCCAGAAAGTCTATGGCTATTTCTAGATTTGATTATTGTTGGAGATAAGAATCACACCAAAGTTTCTAGCATAGGCCAAGCACTAATTCAAGCCACAAGGCCAAGAATGGTTTTGGTGCCACTTCAGGTTGGACTTGGTGTTCAGCTGTATCATCTTTTTCGATCAGAGTTTTTGCTTTCTACCCTAGCGACAATGGGGTTTTGTGTATCTTACAAGGAAGTAAAACGATTTAAAAAGAATGCAGCTTCTTTTGTATCTCAAAATTTCCTAGATGATATATTGGACAAGAACGAAAGGCTGATAATGTTTGCTGGTGATAATGTTGACCATAACCTTGTCACATTGGATGGCCATGGAACATTCCATGGTATGGGAATTATTGCAGCAACCACACCTGGAGTGAAGTTGAACAGTGAAGTGAAACGGTGCAAAGTGACAGATCTCGATATTTTAAACAAATCAAGAATCCCTATTGTCAATTACCGTCCATCAAGTCAAGCACATAAGGAAATACTATTTGAAGATGTTCCAAAGTTTCCAGGAATTATTGTTAAAAACATAGATGTACTGTGGGAGCTGTCATTAAATTTGACCAAACCAACACCAAACTGGCAGAAACTTATGCACACGCTTCACAGTGGGAGCAATTATCCTGGAAAATCTACAGTGACATTTCTACCAATGATAGACATGTATTCAGGTGACAGGTCATGCATACTATCAACGTTTACATTTACGAGTACATTTGTACCTTGACATCTAAGTACAATTTAACACCTATTATAACATTTGATCAACCACTTTACTGGAAGGCCACTGAGATTGTCATTGATTCTCCAGAGAATAGCCATCTTAGAAACATATTTCTAATGCTGGGTGGTTTCCATATATTTATGAAGTTGCTTGGAGCAATCGGCAGGTTAATGGAAGGAAGTGGACTTGCAAATATAATGGAAGCCATTTATGGTGAAAACACAATTTCCCATTTGATGTCTGGAAAGGCCGTACAAAGAGCATTTCGGGGCCACCTTCTTGTTGATCGTTGCTTGAATAAAATGTTAGTGAGCCAAATAATAGAAGAAAGTATTGAAGTAAAAAATGTTGTTTTGCTGGTTGAAGAAATGTATGAACAGTGCAGGTTAAACAACATCACTCAAGATGAAATCATAAAGTCCAATGTCATTTCTTTGATTCAACACAACATTGATGCTGAGAGAGCAGAAATTGGATCTGTGTCTAAAACAAGCCAGTTATGGCTAAATTATCAGCACATGATAGTAGCCAGATCCTTCATAAGAGGAGACAGGTCAGGTTCCTGGAGTACACATCTCAAAGTGGTAGCTGATGCTTTACCAATTTTTGCTGCGGCTGGACATTTAAATTATTTGAGATCTTCATACTTTTGCCTGCAACTGATGAGTAGACTCAAAGACGATCATCCTGATGTATACGACAGGTTTTGCAAAGATTTCAGTGTAGTACGTCGAACGGATAAATTCTGGGCTGGTGTAAGCTGTGACCTCACTATCGAGCAAACCCTGATGCGGTCAGTAAAAAGCACTGGTGTTCTAACCAGGGGCAGTAAAATGAGTGAAAATTCAAGAGTGTTGTGGGTTCTCACAAGACCATGTATGTCAGCATTTAATGAATCCATGCAATCGTTTACAAAGTTTAAGTTTAAAAGAAAGGAAAGAGCCAGGACTCTTTAGCAGATGCAGGTGCCATTGTTGTTGCGCATGACAGATCTATAGAACCTGGACTCTTATCTCAAAGATGTCCCGTGTCCCAAACTGGGAGCCTGTCTTTGGAAGAAATGCTTACATTTGAGCTGAGTCCCTTTCCCCCATCATTGTTTGAAGGAAAGAATTTGCTCCGGAAAGCAGATAAACTGCAATTACTTCATGCAATTGTTGATCAAGGACAAAAGAAAATGTCAGACATATTATTATGTAATAATGCCTTCCCAAAGACTGATATGCACATTTTTGATGGAGGTTCATTGCTTCATCGACTGCCCTGGAAGAAGGGTGAGTCATACCAAGCAATTATTACGTCTTATTGCAAGTTAGTTGGAAAGTATGCATACACAATAGTAGTGTTTGATGGCTATGAAACAGCAACGATAAAAGATATTACCCACTTGAGGCGTGGAAAAGTTGACCACCTTGATGTCAAATTTGACGAATCTACAGTATTTGACACAAAGAAATAGAAATTTTTGAGTAATACTAACAACAAACAGAAATTTATCAACATGCTTGGAAAAGAGCTTCAGTCAGCAGGTGTAACAGTTGTCCATGCACTGGGAGATGCTGATGTCCTCATTGCAACTACTACTATTAATGCGGCCAAGGATAAATCAGTTACACTTATAGGAGAGGACACAAACCTTCTAATCCACCTTTTGCATCACACCAGTCTAAGTTCCAATAGGATAATTTTTAGGTCTAACAAGGCATCAGCTAAAACAGCCATAAATATCATTCCATTAAAAAAAGCACTTGTAGTGGGGCGGATATGTGAAATTTTTTTGGTCAAGACGTGCACTTCTGGAAAGAAGCATGAAACTTTGTCCTAGGGGGTTTTTTGAAAAAATTGCGGGAACCACGATGTCACTGCAACCGTTCCCACCAAAAATTGGAAAAATCAAAATGGCCGCCAAAAAACACAATTTTTTGCAGTTTCAATGCTTCAAGTGTCCACATTACCATGATTTTGGTGTCAGTACCTATGTTCTTTGGTTCAAGGAATCCAGTAAAACCTTATTAAAACACAATAACGTACATCTTTATCGTGAAAATGCAAAATTTAATAAAATATTCAAAATGGCCACCAAAAAAAAACACAATTTTGGCAGTTTGAAGGCTCTAAAGTGTCATATTACCACAATCTTTGTGTCAAAACCTATGTATTAATAGTTCAAGGAATCCAGTAGAACATGTATAAAAAACACAATAGCATACACCTTTATTGCGAAAAAGCAAAATAAATATTCAAAATGGCCGCCAAAACACATTTCTAGTAATGACTACGAGTGCCCTTCTACCATGACTTTAAGTGTCTACAGCAACGCTTTAGATAGTAATCCAACTGATCATATGAAGTAATATATATATATATATATACAGTATATATATATAAAATTTATATATATATATATATATATTGAAGAGTGGGTTTGCATGTATGCTCCAAGTAAAATAAAATGCAAAAACAATGAAAAAACGGTGTACAATCATTGAAAGTTGATTTGCGGAACACAAATTTATTAAGCTATAACAAAATCAAACGGATATTTCGATAGCTCCTGCTATCTTCATCAACGTTAAAGTGAGAAAACTTGGGAGATCTTACATAATACATAAAGAAAAATAAACCATTCAGAATCAAGTTATCAATACAATATCGACAACAATCGATACCTCAACTACAGAAGCTCACACCCTATGAGTCTTAAACGATCGCTCATCTACAGCCAATGCTTGCCTCTCAAACGAATCTGCTCATGTCCATCTGACTATAACAAACACATATCTCTTCTCACTGGCAAGTTCATGTCAAGTAACTACCCATTAAATATAATAAAAACCCAGATTAAAAAAGCCTCACGTAAATCTCGCACTGATCTTCTCACATATAGACCTAAATTTAACAATGATCGGCACTTGACTGTAGCCCCAGCATCCTGCAACTGTCTAAGAGAATTAAAAGAGACTTCCTCTCCCTCCAAGAAGACCCATCGATTAGAGAATTATTTTTACAGCCCCCTCTACTAGCACGTAGGCAACCCCCTAATTTAAAGTCCACTTTAACCTCATCTAAACTCCCCTCCACTAAACCGATACATGGCAACACACAATGTAACAGCTCTAGATGTCAATTATGCAACATCATCAATACTGACAGCTCATTTACTCCACCAGGAACACAAACAACAATCCTGCCACCAGTACTGAATTGTAACTTGCCCAATATAACATACCTCATATACTGCAACAAATGCAACGAGGGAAACTATGTTGGCGAAACTGGTCTAACTTTCAGATCTAGAATGAACAACCACAAATCATCTATAAGACACAAACTCAACTGCCCAGTAAGTGTACATCTGTCTCTTATACACATCTAGATGTGTATAAGAGACAGGTATAGGATAATACACAATAGCAAGATATTTCCGTGTAAACGCAGAAATGAAATGGATAATCCGGTTAAAAACTCACATTAAGGGTCTAAATAAGGACTGAGGCTCTACATGTGATTATGCCTTCATACGCAATATTTCTCTATGAATACAGTATCTAACTATATATCCTATATTTTTGCTTATGTACATTTTTTTATATTCATTGATTTCTAAACTCTATTTTATTTGTCATCATGACATCATGCGTTATATTATTTAAACTCATACATATACCTTATATTTCTGCTATTTATTTTCTATTCCACAATTGTTTTAATTATATAGGACCTTATTAATCATACTATGTTTTATTTCCTGTTATTGTTTACTGTAGTTAAATAAGTCTCAACATTAAGCTGGTTCAATGGCACCGCCAATAAACTATCGCTTACATAATCATTTTGCCGACATCTTATCATGGTTTAATTGTACAGTAATTAATTCGCCCATTAACTTGTCACTGAACTTATATTTTGTGGTCCAATCAACTACTGTAATTGTATTGATAACTTGATTCTGATTGGTTTATTTTTCTTTATGTATATGTAAGATCTCCCAAGTTTTCTCACTTTAACGTTGATGAAG